AATAACTGCTGTCATCTAGGTAAAATTAAACTACTACCTTCATCTGAATACCATTATCCGTACAAATGATTGGTTTAAAATCTTTATTTTGTATTAGGAGAGTAGGAAGTTACAGGAGCTCAATTCTGTAACGAAGACACCTCAGGAATAAGAAGTGTGGTGTATCTGTAAGTTCCGTCTCGATTTGTATTTTTTTTTTAAATTAACTTGTTTATTAAAAAATATTACAATCTGTCTCCAAAGACAATTATAATAGTTCTCAGAGATCACATTCGCACTTTATGTACAGTAAATAAAATAAATTAAACAGAAAAATAATATATATACAATAAATAAGAATAAAATAACCTACAAATAAATAAATGAAAAAGAACACATACATAGCTATATACACTATTTACAATCATGCGAGAGAACTCCGAGCCAACTTCCCTCCAACTGTGAAGGGAAAGGCATGACTCCAGGAGATCTCTGCACTTCTATCTCAACCGAGTCACTGGGGCTAAATCCAGTGGAGATTGAGCGAGAGTGCTGTAGTCACATTCGTATAAGTAAAAAAAGAAATATGACAGATCTTAACCGACAAATCAGATAACTAACCGTTTAAAGACAATACTGGTATCATGTTTATTTCTGTTTCGAGAGATCCTGAAAAAAAAAAACACGTCACAACTTATTTCTATAGTATATATAAATATACAATATTTATATATATATATATATATATATATATATATATATATATATATATGTATGTATGTATGTATGTATAGTAGTTTACATTAAGGGATGAGCAGCGTCTTAAGGTTTTTGAAAATAAAGTATTGCGTAGAATATTTGGACCGAAGAAGGATGAGTTAACCGGAGAGTTCAGACGGTTACACAACGCCGAATTGCGTGAGCTGTATCCGGGTAATATAATTGAGGTAATTTCAGCGCGGCGAATCAAATGGGCTTGTAAAGTTGTTGGGTTTAGTAACGAGAGAATTCCTAAAAGGTTAATATTTGCTGTGCCGAATGGTAAGCGTCCGAGGGGTAGACCGAAGCGAAGGTGGGAAGATTGCATTAAAGCCGATCTGAAGGGACTGGGTTTGGACGGCGAACGGTGGAGGGAGGTGTGTAACAAGCGATTGGTGGTGTCGGCATCGAACCTTCGGGTTCGCTAAGCCTTATTATTATTATTATTATTATTATTATGTATAGTAGTATTTCATGAAAATGTGTTAAGAATTCTTCATTTCATCGTTTCATTTGTGCCAATATTTTATTAAAAAATAAGATATGTATGTGTGTGTATATATATATATATATATATATATATATATATATATATATATATATATATATACACACATACACTGTGTGTGTGTAATGGAACACTGACATTAAGTTTGCCTACCGCAATGACTCCTATCTGGTTCTAATAGGATAGAAATGGAATCGTGGATGTGAAATCGCTTAGATCCATGAAACGCTGCAATAAAGTACAGCAACCGCGGTTCCGCATGTTGCAATCAAAACTTCAATTACTCCAGAGTAAAATGGAAAGAAGAAAAAAATATTGAAGATATAAAAAAAAAAGATTGACTTAAATTGTAGCGCTGGCAGCGTAGGTCTATTATAGAATCCAATTTCCCGGATAAATAGGCTTTATGTGGAAAATAGAGTTGATTAAAACATATTTTCTAAAAGGTGATTAATATTATTGATGAGCTCAATTGTTCCTTGATTAATAATCATCCCTTCAATGCCGTTTGTTCGTTTCAATAGTTATTCATAATTGGAACCAGCAATGTAGTAATCAGGCCCAACGATGGAACCAGAAATAATTATATAATTTGAAATCCAAATAGCTACTAAAATTCACGGTACAGACCCCTCTTTATTAAATTATTATTATTATTATTACCTCTTTATTTTTCACATATACAATGGTGTTTAAATTATGTAATAGTTGGGGACCTATTAGGCCAGCCAAAAATTACATTTGTATATTTTCTTAATTATTTTATATTTGTGAACTTCCTGACAATATTTGCTGTTCCCAACAACGCAGCTGGTTGCATTCTTTCGATCGTCTGAGATGGTAGTTCTAGTAGTCGCAGAGAAGATACAGTTTCTTCCGGTATCAGTCCGTTGCACGAGATTACAATTGGCAGAATTCGGGTTTCCTTCAAATGATATAATTGTTTGATCTCTTCAGCCAATTCGACGTACTTTCTCTTTTTTTCCGCTTCTACCTTGTGTAGGTTATCATCAGAAGGAACTCCAATCTCTATGATAAACGCAGATTGCTTACTTTTATCTATTATAAGAATGTCTGGTCTATTGTGGGGGATGGTGTGATCCGTCAGGATCGGTTGATCCCAGAACACCTTGATATTGCGCATGGAGTTAATTGGTTCTGGATGGTATTTATAATACGGGCAATACTTATCGACGAGTTCCATTTTCTGAGCCATAGCTTGATGCACTACCTTAGCTGCATTGTTGTGTCTCTGCAAGTATTCCTTACCCGCAAGTATTGTGCATCCCGATGTTACATGTTGAATTGATTCAACTGCCTTTTTGCATAAGCGACATAAGTCATCGATGCCCTCTCCACATATATGTTTTCTGTATGCTTTTGTGGCTATTACCTGTTCTTGAATAGCAAACAAGAATCCTTCTGTTTCCGGAAAGATACTTCCACTCTTCAGCCATGTCAATGGCGCCTCAGCGTCCACTCCTACATCCATTAATGAGTGATAAAATCGTCCGTGTAAAGGTTTATTTTTCCATATTTCTGATCGAGTGCCATCATCTGCTTCACTAATCGGGATTCCAGGACTTCGTAAATTCAAAGCTGTATAATTTATATCTAATGATGCGATAGTTGAAAGGATATTGGAAGTATGGTTTATAATGTAGTTGCGAAGATTATTTTCTTCCTTTTGGCATAAATTCAAGAGGCTGACTAGACCACGCCCTCCCGACTTCCTAGGAAGATACAATCTCACTACAGATGACTTTGGATGCCTCTTCCTTGAAAGCACCATCTGTACTCTCAGAAAACGATCCAACCTTTCTAAATCGGTTTTAGTCCACTTCAGTACCCCAAATGAGTAGGCTAAAGCAGGTATCGCCCAGGTATTCAATGCCCGTATCAAATTTCTTCCACTTAAATGTGATTTAAGTACTAATTTAACACGGTATTTAAATTCTTCCTCAAAGTTTTTCTTTGAATTAGCATTGAATTTCAGAAGTTGGTGTACTCCAAGGTACTTGTAAGAATCAGATTCTCTCAATTGATTCATTATTACATTTTCCGATATCTCAATATTACTCCCCTTCATAACTCTTCCTCTTTTTACGTGTACTATTGCACATTTATCTATTCCTAGATCGATTTTTATATCATTACTGAACGTTCTTACTGTCTTCAGAAGAGCTTCCATTTCGTCTTCATTCCTAGCGTAAAGCTTGAGGTCATCCATATAGAATGAATGAGAAAGCTTCATTTCAGAGTTAAGTAGGTACCCTTTATCTGTATCAGCCAATAATTTGCTAAGTGGATTAAGCGCCAAACAAAACCATAGAGGACTAAGGGAGTCCCCTTGAAAAATACCTCTCTTTATAGATATGTATTCATTGGAACTCATTCCATTCAAAGTTGGTGTGCTGATTGAGACCCTCCAGATTTTCATCAGTCGTTCTAATAGATCTATTATTGCCTGGTTTACTTTATAGATTTTCAACACTTCCAGAAGCCAATCATGGGGAACCGAATCGAAGGCTTTACGGTAGTCGATCCAAGACAATGTAATATTACGAGATTTTTTTGTAACTTGAGCAGCAATAAAAGAATCGATAATCAGAAGTTCTTTGCAACCTTTTGAACCTGCCTTAATACCTAACTGTTCCGCTGCCATAATACCCTTTTCCTCAATGTAATCTGTCAACTTATTCCTGATTACAGCCGTTAGTAATTTGTACACACCATTAAGACAAGTTATGGGTCTCAAATCCTGTGGCTCCAGCCTGTTTTTGCTTCCTTTCTTTATTAAGTGAGTCGTACCGGTACAGAACTTCGCTGGTAAGTCAATCTCTTGACAATTATTATTATTATTATTATTATTATATGAAATGTACATAAAAACATTCCTGAATCTTATTGCAACCATATATAACTAACTAGCATTTACATTTTTATTTAAAAACACTATTTTTTTTATTTATAGACCATAATAGGTACACTACAGACTATCAATAGGTACATTAAAAACAAAAACAAAATAATGAAATGAAAATTGGTTCAGAAACAGGAGAAAAAGATACTGAGTTCTTTTTTCTTTTGATATTTATATAATGATATTCAGTTCACTTTCTGTCTATTTTTATTTCTGTGTTGCCATTCAAAAATCGAGATGGTTGATATTTTCTTATGATTTTATTATTTACTCGATTCAATCGACTGATGAATTCCATCGATAAAATTAGCGTAGATTATTAGGGAATGTTTTTGGTTTTTATAGGCAAGGGGCTCTGAAACGTAATGACCTGTTGAAAACCGCACATCGAAAATTTTACTCAATCGGACAGTCAATCCTTAGCAAAATTATTTTAATTTGATAACAATATGAACATGGATTTAGGGTGATTATTGGGTGTCAGAATAAGTGTTGGAAATGATCTATCCAGTGATGTGGCGCTCACTTGCAGTGTTCCCCAAGGGTCTGTGCTATCCCCAATACTAATCTCAGTATACACAGCTGAAACTGTTGGAGCAAAGCATAAACTACTACCTAGTCCTGTCATAAATATTTTTACAAGGAAATATATACAGATTTCAACGGAAGAATTATTTTTTTCAAAAACTTTATTGGAAAATAAAATCTATATCTACAGAGAGTAAAAAAAAAAAAAATTCTCAAAATGTATCCCTTTTATCTTGACACGGACATTTAATCTCCGTGGTCAGTCATCAATTCCAGAACGCAGCACTACTTGAGGAAAGGGCTCTACTGCTTAGACCAGAGATTGTTTAAGGCTTTCCAAGTTAGGATGTGCTCTGTGACATGCCATCCACTCAAGTTTAGATCAAAGCCGATAATATAGTGGATTGAGATCAGGGCTTCCTGAGGGCCAATCCGAGGCAGAGATGAACTCTGGAATGTTTTTTTGCAGCCACTGCTGAGTTGACATGGCCTCGTGAGCTGGAACGGAATCCTGTTGGAAAATTCAATGACTTCTAACAAACAAAGTATCATTTTGAGACTTGACAAAAGGTTCTAATATATCGCCCTGATAGTTTTTAGCGGCTGTTTTAACTCCTTTTTGACAAAAATGGAGCATTGTAGTACCATCAAAACAAACTCCTTACCAAACCATCACTGAGGAAGGGTGATGACCTCTTTCCATTCTTCTAATTACTTCCTGGGCTTCTTCAAAGCTGCGCACATACGATCATTTTGGCGACTAAATTTTTCTTCAATTGTGAAAATTGTCTCATCGCTAAACAAAATCTTTCAATGAAGACCACTGGTGTAACGGCCAAGGAGCACTTTACATCTTTCCACTCTAATTTTTTTTTGTCTTGTTATTCTTCGAAATGCTCCCATCCTAAGGTCACTTTTTGTTATGCGAGACATTGATCTGACAGAGATTCCTTTTCCCGAGACATGATTTGTTTTTTTCGAATGGGATTTCTTCTGATTCGAGCAGCCAATGCTCTCACAGCATTTTCCGTTTTCACAGTGCGGGGAGTTCTGTCACATATAGATAGGGTCTCGTTATATCTATTTATAGTGCGGTACACGAACATACGGCTGATACTCAAAGGTTTCAAAGTGGTGACAATCTCTGACCTACATTTTCCAACTTTGTGTAAGGCGGTCACAGCTATTCGATTTTCTTTCTCACCCCACCCTATTAACTGAGCGAAAGAAAAATACAAACCAATTGGGATTATTATCCTGAAATGTAATGAAAATAACCTGACAGAGGTTATGATTATCTATATAATACATGTAAACAAAGCTCAACTTTTGTAACAGTATTTATGGCAGAACTAGGTATAATGGCATATGCTGATGCCATTGTTATTTACAGTAGCTCCTTAAACGCAACGAGAGCTCTACGGAAGATGGAGGAGGCTCGTGAAGAAATCACAAAGAAACTGGAAGGACATATCAAAGTTAATCCCGAGAATTTTTTCCTTTCAGAAGAATAAACGCCAGAATAAACGCCTATATATCTTCCTAAGAAATATAGGGTAGCGGGCAAAACAAATATGCCAGCAGAGAGCATAGTGTACTTGGGTGTCACCCTTGACGGGCACCTAACACTATTCCTTCAATGCCAGAAGAAGGTTAAGTAGGTGTAGACCAAATCTTATAGGCTAAATCATCTGTCAACATCACCAAAGATATCACTCCGCCTCAAATTATTAATTTATAAAAGCGTTTTAAGACCGGCCCTTCTTCATGGAGCGCCGATGATATACCAGCCTCAAATGAAACTAAGCTCCAGCAGTTTCAGAACGGAGTGCTGAGAGGTATTGTTGTGAGAGATACATCATTACAGAGAACAAAAACCGGCCAACTCCACAAGACTTTTGAACTACCGACGGTAACTGACTTTATAACACGCAGGCACGTCAAATGTTTTGATAGCCTGCAATACGCCACTAAACTGCTTTTTAAGACACTAACTCCGACTAGACTTGACTAGACTGAGGACTACTAACTAACTGGACTGAAACAGGACAACTAGAGAATACCATCACTAGACTAAAGACTCAGAACGTAACAGTTCTTAAATCCCTTAAACTCCTCCCTTAAAATGCATACGACCCATAACTCCCTTAAGATGCATACGACCAATTTAATTTAAGGGACTCCATCCCGTAAAGAAACATGTGAAAATCCTAAGATCTTTGTGGATCAGGAAAAAAATTATGGGAGTTTAGATTACATTTATATACCCAGAGCTATATTAATTATCAAATGAAAGCGATATAGGTAACGTAATAAACAGGTAAATGCTAGGCAGATTATCTGTTAGGCAACGGTAGAACCAGGCATGTAATTATAGCCTCTCATTAAACATTAAAGTCTATTTACTGAACATAGTAATTGAATTTATTACATACTTGACAGACCTTTCACTTCTGAATTTCACAATCAACATTTATTTCCATTTTCATTTAATAGCCTATTAAATATTTACTAGCATGTATAAAATATAATACAATATAATTCAGCCACCTATTTCGCCTCTTACGATTGTGAAATCATAATTTAAAATTTTGCTGACATTTTGCAATCATAAATATTTTACAGCCGACGCCTAAGCCGCGTTTTACTAACAAGACTTAAACGTCTGTTTTACGCTGTTAAGGTCGGCAATCTCAAACGACCCCGTCAAGAAGTAATTGCAAGTGTCGCTCTAAGAGCTCTCGGATCAGAGAGGAATAAATTATCCTAAAACAGGAAAAAGAAAAACCTCTCTGGATGAGTTTAAGATCACATTAATCACAGCATTCATTTCTCCTATTTCTTAATTGTACCTTCCTCTGAGAGAAAAGAGGCGGGGAATTACTGACTTTTTGAAAAATATTTTTAAATTGCTCTTCTTCTTCTAATTTATCGTTTGAGATGGGACAGTACTAGATTACTTTTTCTGATTTGAGTACTTTTCAAAGAAAAAAAATACAGAGCAATTTCGGAACTCGGCCCGATCTGATTACTTTTAAATGTGTTCACGCAGCGTTAATCAAACACAAATTTACTTCTAGTTCATTTCTCATTACAAAAACAAAAAACTCAATCAAAATTTTCTGAGAACTGTTTTTTTTTTTGTTTGATCATTCCTTTACTATTAAGACTGATGTAAAGGCTTGTTTATGAAGAAATATTACAATCTGTCTCTATTAAAGACATTTATAATAGTGTTCTGTACCGAAAATTTCTTCGGACCCAGGAAACATATCGAAATTATCGAAGATAGTTTTAGAAAGTTTTATGGAATCCTCGGATGTAGATTTTTTTCAATTTTTCTGATTTCTTTAATATCAGATTGTCAGATGTTTATTTAGAAAATCTCTTGGCTGCCACCTTAAAAATCGTCGGGATGGGATTTATGAATACTGTAGCAGTATCTTATACCGTTTGGATACTCAAGTCCTTATAAAGCGAGTCATTTCTCACGTAGTCCGTTATTTTTCTAAAAATCATTGATTGAATGAGTTTTTAGGATGATAGAGAGTTTTGCAGAGGTTTTAATGTAACATATTATCGAAGGTTTAGTTTTTGAAAATCCTATCGATGTTAAGAATGAATAATTATGCATTGCTTTATATCAAAATATTGGATTCGTTGAAATAAGAGTCCATTATTATATTACTATTAAAGGAATGTTATCAGAGCCCTAATTTTTGAAAATACTAATATTTTTAAGACTGTGCGATCGACAATAAGCTCTAATAACCTGTTATAACGACAAAATCTGAAAACTTCAAATAATACTTTAAATCGTCGAATCTCTAAAATGCAAAACTAATTCTTTAATGTTTCGCCAATTCAGTTAACATCAGGACAGAAATAACATTAAAAAACATATATGGCGATAAAATGCAATGTATCTTTCATCAAAAATTGAAAAAAAAAAAAAACACATGTCGTGAAAGATCGACAACTAGCGAGTATATAGACAGGAAGTAGAATTTGGAGTAGGTCATTGACAGTTGTTATTATGTGTGATTGAGGATTGCCCTGCAGCGTTTCTATCTTAATTTTAATATTTACAGTTTAGTGGACCACAAAATTTCTCTCGTATCCAATCTTTACAATCCAAAATCCTTCGTAAACTCCTCAATACTCCTTACTTTGCCACAAATAAAATAATCCATAAAGACCTTAATGTTCCATATGTTTCCGATTTGGCCAAATCCAGATACCTATCCTTCCATAATAAACTTCATAACCATCCGAATCCTCTTGTTGCTAACCTTGCTTCCTCTTCGATTCCTGATAACCCTTCGAGGTGTCTGAAAAGAAAATGGCCTTGTGATTTCCTCATGTAGACATATTTTTAAAGTACTACCAATGGGTAGTTTCTAAAGCGTTTTCATGCAATTACATTCCTCTGTACACATTTACTTGATGTATTTATGTTAATACAGTTGAAATATCATAATAAAAAAAAAAAATGTTAGTGGAAGAGATCAGTCATCCAGCTTCTTAGAGCTTAGCTTGGAGCCTCCTACAGATGTTATTGGACATGCTGGGTGTGGTCATGACTTGAATCAGACAGTTTGCATCTCTGTGTAATTTATAGTGAAATCTTTTTTAAAGTGTTCGGAGGTGGTCGTTAACTGTAAGCATGGTAAAGTAAATTAATGTTGCTGTCGTACCTGAAAACTTAGGACATAGTACTTACAGTTATATTTGGAAAAATCAGTAGTATATGATGTGGGTATATGGGTATTTTTTGCTGATCGGTACATCTGTTAAGCGTAGGTACAAATGAGCTTAAGTAAGTATGTATTCGATTTCTGTCTAAGTTTTAACTGTAGATGTCTTAGAAGGAGTGAATCGAATCCAAGATAAAACATTAAACCTAAGACTACGACTGTTATGTTCACTCTTTTTTATTTATTCAAGTAAAAGGATACGCGTTAGTGCAATCTTAAAATCTATGTTTGTAACAAAATTTGGTGCTTGTTTGTCTTTGGTGCTTGACAGGAGGACTGCACGAAACCTCCCTTTATGTGTTGTAAAATTAAAGTGTTTGTTTATTGTTGTGGGAATTATTACATTTATTTTTGTCTATTTCAATTTCAAACCAAACTGTTTTGTTATTATTACATTTGTTTTCGTCTATTTAATATCAATGTTGTAAAATAAAAGTGCTCTGGTTATAAATATTGGCAGATAGCAGTCGGTCCAGTCCGGCTATCAGACAAGTATAAATCCTATTGTGATGTTATCAATACAAAACACTTATCGACATATCGCATACCGTCTCTACTTCTGTAGATCAAGCACAAAAAAGTGAATCATCGGAAGTACTTTCACATGTAATTAATATTATAAATCTTTTCCATCCTCGTCGCTCATAATTGTAAATGCAATCGTTCATACGCTCAATCCTAAATACATTCACAGGCCTACCAAGAATAGAGAAAAGTAATATAGGAAGCTGCCATAATCAAAGAGAAACTTCTTTCCCTAGAAAGGGCAGTTTCCTCCAAGCAATATAAAGACACTCCGGTTTTATTGTGGTTGTAAAAAGTTAGGACGACTTTTGCGCAACAAGTACCCCAGTAAGCTTTGCCCTGATTTTCTGGATTGTTAGCACACAATACTCAGCAAGCTTACTTTAAACTTAGTAGACTCGTTATGAAGTATCTCAAGTAT